AAAAGCCTAAGTATTTCTTTCTCACAGCCCCAAACATCGTGTTACATACAGCCTGTAATGTATTGTCATTATATTCAGATGTAGGTAACATTAGGGGTAACACAGGAGTAAACAGGAGCAGGGTAAATCTTTGTAGTTTAAATATATGTTGAAGCTTAATAAAGACAGTTTCCTCCTTTCCAGAAAGGCTGACATGTTAGCTTGCTAGCTACAAGGCACTTAAACAATTTACTTTAGCTACAGTTAGCAAGTCAGAATGACACTCACCCATTAATGTTATATATCAGTATATATATATCAGTATATATAAAAGCACAAGTTAACCATGCGGGACAACTTCTTTCATATCTTCAATAACATTAAACCTCCATATATTATAAGGTTTGTTTGTCCAACGTTGTCTTCTTTTCCTGTGCCAGCTTGTTAGCACACTAGCTACACTGCCACCTACCTCCTCGGATGACTTCTCTCTCTCTCTCTCACACGCACACAGGCTTTTATTTTGAAAAGCCCCAGTACGGAAGTCGTCCAGCTCGGTTGACGCTCCAGAAACACGTTGAGCTTAAGTTGTCAATCAAAACAGACCACCAAGCCCCCAGCAGTGAAATGTAGGTGGTTTGTGTTATATCCAGGTTGTCTGTATTAGCGGTATGAACGAGGCTGTTTGGGCTCGTTGTTCAGTGTGATTTTTAAACCGCAGGAAGATATGCTGGTTGTTAATCTACCAGATCTCAGTCAGTCAGGAAGGAAGCACTTGCACTGCAAACCTGCAGAGCTGAGCTAACCCATTTTTTATTTAACCTTACTCTTTTTCTTTTCTTTTTTTTTTTTTTACTTTTATTTATTTCTGTTTGGAAATGAGAACGATATTATTCGTGCTGCACGCCATCTCATGCTGCTGGTTGGTCAGTGCCACACTTTCAAAAACTGATGCAAAGAAGTCGCATAAAGCTGAGGCCGAGGTGAGTAACTTCTGGGCTTTACCTTGAAATGGGTGTGAGCTGTGTGTGCTGTCAGGTCTTACAGGTCTTCCTCTGTTTGCCTGGTATGTCACTGGGCTTGAATCATCCTGAATCAGGAAGCAGCCCCCCTTATCCTCTGTTATTTGTCCAGTCATGATGATGAGGAGGAGGGGGATTACTGTGTGTACATGTCACTGAAACTGGCTCTTCTTCCTCTTTGATCTCACTGTTTAGACATCTCCAGCTGAGCTGTCTGTGTTGGAGAGAGGCCTTGTTGTGTCAGATCCGCACTGGAAAGACATAGTGAAGGAGGAAAAGAGACACTGTGCTCACATCAAGAAGACATTTCAAGGGCAAGTGCTTGGATATGTCACACCTGTAAGTCATATCTAACCTGGCTGCTGTTCAGCGTCTGACAGCACTTTAACCTCAGCATGAAAGAATAGGTTCAGTCTGTCTTAATGCAATACTCACCGGCCTGTATGCACATTGGAAAAATTGGTCACTGCAGTTATTCTTCCTCTCAAAACTGACTGAAGCGGTCTTTTACTTTAAAGATGGAGTCAGTCTGAGTTGAGCCAGATTAATCTCCCAAATCTTCCAATGTTTGTCTTTTTATTGCAAAATTCCCTGTTTGTGTTTCATCAGACTGCCCGAGTCAAATAGTTAATTTCTTACTAAAAAGACGGTAAATTAATAGAGCTGAAACTATTGATTAATCAGCAACTGATAATCATTTAATCATTTACCTCCTTCATACATTTTCTGGTTCCAGGTTCTCTACAGTAATGATAGTGAATGTAAGATCAGTGGCTTATGAACTGGTTGTTCTGGGGAAATTGTGATGAACATTTCTCACATTTTCCAGAGATAAACAAAACAACTAATCGATTAATTAGGAAAATGACTGGTTAATTAATCAACAAGGAAAATAATTGCTACTTCTGGACCTTAACTTCAGTTACCCAGTGTGACCTCCTCTTACACTGGAGCTGTACGAGGAAGGTCGCTGGAAGTCAGTCAGAGTTGAGGGTGCTGACAGAAAGTCAGTCTATATAATGACATCATAGTAAATGCTAAATGCATGTTAATGGTTTTTGCATTAATTTAAAAACTGATAATAAAAAAAACCCACCACTTTCCTGACATAAATACCAGTGTGTACCAGTTAAAGGACAAAGTCATTATATGTTTGTGGTTTTCATTACACCAGATTTTAGGGGGTGCTGCAGCCCCCTTAACACCCCCACTTCCAGCACCCATGGGTACCACTTTAAGTGACCAATAACTCATGTGTACCATATAGACATGTGGCTGTTGAATTAAGACGGACTGGAACATTTTTAAACAATCTTTAAAGTGTTTTGTCTTTAAATGTCCTATTTTTCCCGTACTCCAGTGGAATTCCCACGGCTATGACATCGCCAAGACCTTTGGCTCTAAACTAACTTCAGTGTCTGCAGTGTGGCTTCAGCTCCGCCGACGGGGACCTGAAACTTTTGATGTTACTGGACTCCACGATCATGACCCAGGTAGAGGACCGAGTGACAGTCAGATGGAAAGTGTCTTGACTAGTGACAAATGTACATAAAGGGGTCTTTTTTGTCTTCGCAGGCTGGGTCAAAGCTGTACGCAAGTCCAACAAAAAAGTCAGGATGGGTGAGCAGATGTCCTCCCTGCTGTCCACAACTCACAATGTGTGTGTCAGCCCTGTTGGTTTCAGATGAGACTCTATTGTTTGATCATTTTCATTTCCTTTACCCTCAGTGCCTCGGCTGTTATTTGATGGCTGGTCTTACCAGGACTACATGAGCGTGATGGGGAGTGAAGATGAAATTGAAGAGCTGGGAAGTGAGCTGGTGGATGTCGCAAAGGTAATCAAGAGCTGCGTTTAACCTTAAAACCTTAAAATCCCTCGCAAAGGGTTGTTGTGTTTGTCCTGCGTGTGTCTAATGAAGCTGTGGCCTTGCAGACTGAAGGTTTCGATGGTTTCACCTTGGAGCTGTGGAGCCAGCTGGGAGGGAACAAAAGAAAGTGAGTTACTCTGTTGACACGTCTGTGTTATTACCCGAACTACCAGTTCTTTGTCTTAGATGATTCAAATACAAAATCTTCTCCGTACAGGGAGCTGGTCCATATGGTGAAACACATATGTGAGACTTTGAAGGCTAAAAGGCTGGACTGCATTCTCGTCATTCCACCTGCTGTGACAAGGTAAATGAAGCTACTGTATCAGCTACTATAAATGCTAAAAACAAATCACTGAAAGTGGTGCTGACTCTCCTTTTTGCTTCTTTCCATTTCCATCACTACCAGCACGGGGCAGCCGGGTATGTTTGGCAGGGAGGAGTTTGAGCAGTTAGCCCCTGTGGTCGATGGTTTCAGCCTCATGACATACGACTACTCCAGCGGTTCCAGGTGAGTGTCACAGACAAGCGATGTCCATAGATTCATTGTGGTAGAAATGGTTTTAGGTTCACATTCACATTCACATTTAATGTTTTTTTAATAGACCGGGCCCGAGTTCTCCGCTGCCCTGGGTGAGAGACTGTGTTCTCCAGCTTGCACCCAACACTCAGTGGAGGCAAAAGATCCTGCTTGGACTCAATTTGTATGGCCTCGATTTTGCAAGTCAGGGAACAGAGCCGATCCTGGGAGGAAGGTAAGAGAATACTGTGACTCCTGCCGGAATACTTTACATTCACTTTTCAGCAAAACAAGTTTAATACTGTATGTTAAACCAGCAGAACGAGTCATCTTTCTACCACACATTCTTTCTCATTAAAACCCGGTGCCTGTATTACCCACAATGCAACACTACTGCCAACAGTTAGGCTCAGGTGTGTTATGCTGGTGGCAGCTAATGTTGCCTCTAGCCTCAAAAGTCTTTATACAGTTTCTTTCACATATGCAGTAGTACACGACATGTAAACAGACATTGGAGCTTAAAGTTCCCTTTTAAAGCTCCTGAAAACTTTAAAATAACAATTTCTCTATAACATCAAGTATTCATGACCAAAATACCAACAATTAAAGTTAAAGGATCAATGTGTAGGATTTAGCGGTTGCAGATTGCAACCATTTGAATATAGCTCAGCCTTGCAACTGTGTTGGAAAAACTACGACGGCCTCAAAACTCACAAAAAATGCGAAAGGCCCTATCAAGAGCCAGTGTTTGGTTTGTTCATTCTGGGCTACTGTAGAAACATGGTTGTTCAACATGGACTCTGTAGAAGAGGACCTGCTCATTCTAATGTAACAAAAACATGATTCTTATTTTCAAGTGATTATACACTACTGAAAACATAGCATGAATATTATATTCAATTTCTGCCAATAGATCCTCCTAAATGTTAAACACTGGACCTTTTAAAGTGTGTGGTTATGATTAGAGCTCCAAGTACATGGTTCAACTAAGCCCCGCCCTCATAAAACCAGTGAAAGGAGCAACAACAAAGACAGAAATGTCTCATGAAATAGCCAAAAGTTTTTCAGGGACTTTAACACCGTTTTAAACTTGTCTCTGATTTCCTGCAGGTACATTGAGATTTTGCGAGAACACAAGCCAAAACATCTGTGGGATGAATATTCTGGAGAGCACTATTTCAGTTACAAGAGGTACTGATTTAATAACACTTTGAGTCAACAAATTATGCCTGAAATCTTAAACTTCCGACAGCAATCTTTTAACAAGATTCCTTACATTAATTTCAGGAACAATGCTGTTAAACATGTGGTGTACTATCCATCATTAAAGGTAAGTCTTCCTCATATAATCACTTGCCTTTCACTTTAATAACTGATGTTTTCATGAGGTTTACTGGAGATTAACATTATTTTAATGATTTTACAGTCAATCTACCTGAGGATCTCCTTGGCTACTGAACTGGGAACAGGAATTTCCTTATGGGAATTAGGACAAGGACTGGACTATTTCTATGATCTCCTATGAGAGTTGGATAGTCAAGATTGTGGATCATCAGCACATGACTTTTTTTTTCCCCTGAACATGGTGCACCAAAAAATTCAAGAGCTGTATGCAGGTATTATTTTGTTTTTTTTAATTTCTGAGTAAGTAACAGGGAACTATGAAACTATGAAAGTCGTTGACAGGATTTAGTTAATAAAAACTTGTTTGAGCATCATGATAGTCTTGAGAAATCTTGTCTACATAAACAAATCTGTGATTTGTTGATTAAAACGATACTAGCAGGAGACATTAGGTACTTCAGTATGTTGGGAGAAAAAAAACAATTTGTACAGTTCAGTCAGATTGCAGTAACACATCTTCATTCAACACCGGAGTGTGCATCATCATTATGTGTATACAGTTTAAATGAAGGGTTATATTCTTGTTCTGAGGCCTTCAAAGTTTACATGCCACAAACATCTGCAGCTTCTCTTCAGTCCAAACAGACATCTTCAGTTGATCTTTCTCTGGCTTTGAATATCCTCAAAACTGCATCTGCTCCTGACACAACAATGTTTCTCATGTCGCTAATTTTTTTTAAATTTCAAATCAAGACATTTGATTGTGTGGACTTTTTATTATGTTTATGATAACAGCAAGTAATGATGTTGTATGTACAGTGTTGCCAAGCATTTGTTCTGACCCAGCATCTTCCAATATTTGTCTGAGATGAATGTTTGTTTAATTACATGAATATAAATGTGGAACAACCAAGCTGTTTAACTTCCTGATGTCAACATTTTCTATGTTTTACTTGGCACCACAGAGCAGGATGAGATTATTTACAGCGAGTGAGGTGGACTGCATATTCTGACCAGTTATTAGGTGTCTGTCAATGACTACGTGCACAGCATCTTCTTGACTTGCTGGAAAACAAAGAGATAAACACAAGAAGGTTTTAGTTTTTAAAAATGTTGATTACGTTTTTACCAAATTAATATCTGCACTCTGCAGGTCAACCCACCTGTGTATGATCCACCACTGTCTTTCACAAAGTCTTCCACGACCAAGGGCAAGTTGGCAAAGTCAGGCCTCCGCACCAGTTCAAACACTGACGGCTTCCAGCAAAAACAATTACAGTTATTAAATACATTGAAGACGTGAAGATATATTTGTGTATACTACCTTCATGTTTACTTAAAGAAGACTAACCCCTGTTAAACTGTAACCACTGAAGATCCAGCTCTGACCCTCAGTGGCACAACACAGCGCCGACACTCCTTGTCCCACTGCACAAACAGGCTCTGCACACAGAGAAACAAACAAGTCTCCACACTGGACGTATAAATTACATACTGACTGCTTGTAAAATTAGCCTCACACTCACTTTTATGAGAGACAAAGTGTGTGAGAATGCGGTGCAGAGAGCCGCTGTGTGCCAGGTCATTCAGCGCTCCGGGGCAGTCCGGGATGAGCAGCGCCTGGTATCGGGCACCTAGAAAGGGTCATCGAGTCTCTTAACTGAGCAGAGTCCAACCAACACACATAAAAAACAGCCAAATGGTTGTGCAATGAATATTCTCACCATCTATAGATTCAAGTTTGGCTGGTGTCGCGTAGGGTTTCACATTGAAGTCCTGCACCCATCTAGCAGTGCTTTCATCGACTCCAGTAAAGTCTATTGGTTTCCCCTGCAGTTACAAAAAAATCCAGTGCTGAGGTCACTTAATGCTGCCAACTTTAGGTTAGATCTAAACATTAGTTTTATTTGTATTCCAGCAGTGGTTTGCATTTTCCATCATTTCTCAGATGTCAGCATCCCAGCTGGAATAATGAAGTGTTTACTGATGGTTAAAATCACTACAAACAAGGCTTTGCTCTCTTACCTTCCTTCAGTTTATGGAAGTACTGGATAAAATGTTTGTTTTAAAAGATTGTATCATGTCAATAATCAGTGTTTATAATCTGGCCAGATAAACATCAGTTGCTTTAATAGTGAATTATGTACTTCATTAAGGTGGAACATAAAATAATAGACTACTGAATGGGTAGCTGCATTATTTTTAGCGCCTTTACTAATGATCCTGTCAGTCAGATAGCTACCTGTCTTTAAAGCATGTGTTAGTACTCCTTTTTCCCATCTGACAGAATAAGATACCTCACTTTAACTGGTAGCTCTGCCTGAGAGAACAGCTCAGCTTGGTTTAGACCATCTGCTGCGCTGCAGACCTGTGTGAGATCAATCACCTTTTGAAGATCAAAAAAGTCAAAATACTCAAATGGACATTTGAACATCTGCAATTCCATCAGATCTGAACTGAACTTCAACCACTGCTGCAACTAACTACGAACCAGAAGTGAAAGAAGTAATAAGATCCTTAAAGGAGTATAAGCAGGAAGTATAAGCAGGAATATCTAGCTAAAGTATTAAAAGTAAGAGTACTCAATGCAGAAAAATAGACCCTGTGACTGTTACACTATATCATTATATTATTATTGTTATTATTATTACCGGTTCTCTACATTAATGTAAAAACAGGAATCTACTGATGCAGCTATTTTGTATAAGTATTGTATAAAATCATGATTACATATTATTATTATTATTATTATTATTATTATGGATTAATCTGATGATTATTTTGTCAACTGATTGGTTGCAAAAAATAAGAAATTAGGGAGAGATGCTGATTTATAAAAAAAAAAAAATTATTAAAATAAATGGAAAAGCAGGAAATCCTCAATTTGACTTGGACTTGTTTGGGATTTTTGCATGAAAAATTATGCATTTACTGAGTGATTCGTATCGATTAATCAACCAATAGTTTGAGCTCTACCTGTAATGTTGTACTTTCATGTAAAACAAAGCATTCACACACAGATAGGAGGCTACAACACTGCAGTAATATTCATTTTGTTGCCTGTTTTGCAACTATAAATGTAGTCTTACCCCGGGAGTGGCTGTCTGGAGATTAAACACTGGAGTACAAAGACTGAAGGACTGATGGAAAGACTTTGCTGACACTCCTGAAGGAACAAAACAGTTAAAACTGAGATCAATGTAAACAAACTGTAGCTTGGTTAAGCTAGCTAGCGAGCAAGTGATGTTTGACCACGGCCAACAGGTTAATTTAAACAAGAACTAAGCTCCAATTTATACAATAATGAGCAAAATAAACTCAATACTACACTCTGTCAGTGTGTAATTCATCGTTCATTAAATGAAACTTAAACTAAAGGACCCACCTTGTGGAGAAGCACTCGCCACTATCAGACAGGTTGGTTTCGCAGACATTTCATTTACCTCTGTGATCCCTCCACATTAAATAGTTCAGCTTGTTTGAAATGAATACGAAGATTAATGTGGGTGAAAGCATAAAAAGGAGAAATACGACAGGAGGAAGTGCTGTCAGCTGACAACAACATCCGCTGAAGGATTTCAGAATAAAAGTTAATTGTCAAAAGGCGGGGAAGTACAATATGTGAAATTCAATGGGAATAATAAATGGACATCGTTTTTATTTGTATTTCAACAAACAAAAAATATATAACTTTGGTAAACACTGTGTGATACATTAAAAAACTAAATAAACAACAAGACCAACACTGATTACAAATGCAGCCACAGCATGCTCTTATTTCTCTGCTCTTTAAAATATGTGTTTTGGTTACAGGTTCATCCACACATTATTATCTTAACATCACAGGGAAGATACTTAAAGCATATAATGGCTAATGCAGAAAAAGAGCACTGCTGCCCAGCAGCATTATAGTATCTGTAGTGTCTGTATTTTGAAAAATCATCACCTCATTATTTGAATTGGCATCACAGCATCCAGAACTGTGTTAATAATTTGGGCATTAAAATATCTAACCATACATTTTACAATTCATTATGTTTTGTGATATTAAAGACACTCAAAAATCAGTACGGATCTTCTTTCAAATTTTGATAAAGGCAGCAAGTAAACATCATCCCCACAAGCTGAAAGAAAAAGAAGACACGAGGAACTTGTTAGTTCCTCACTTCACACAGAAACAACTATTGTTCACAGTTCAGCTGCTGGCATTTTGCTCAACATTAAAAGACATGTTCATATTAACCTCTGTTTTGCTCAGTGGTTCGTACTTTACCTGTAGAAATGCAATCCCAATGCCCACTGCACCCAGAATATACAACTGACTCAGGATGAATTCTTCTAATTTCATAATGCAACCTCCCTGTGAGCAGGAGACAAGGAAAGGAAATTAAAATGTTGCTATAGTTTATATAATTTATTCACAGCCAAATGGACACACACTCTACCTACCTCCACCTTGTAGATGTTGGAAGGATGGTCCCTGCGGCCGCAGAGGTCACTGGGAGTTTTACAGCAGCTATCAGGAACGAGCCGCTCATTCCCCTGGATCCACACACTGTCTATCCAGTCTGAGGAGTTGTGACTGCCACAACACTTAAACTGAGAGGGAGCCAGTGCAATGCACAAAAGACAGAACGAAAGACAACACAATGGTGACTGACACTCAGGCTAAAGGGGCCAAGTGCCTGAGTTTCTGTCTGGCAGTTAGTTGCCTGTCATACAGTGTCACTTACTCACCTCCTGCTGAAGTTTATCCACAGCCTGCGTGACGCTCTCCTCCCCCGGCTGCTGGTATTTCTGCTGCATGGTCACCTTCAGGTTCTGTGTGAGTTGATCATCCAGCTGTGAGACAGAAGAAGCATTTCAGTGATAGCTCTGGAAGAAAGAAAAGTGTCATCTGCAAATCTCCTCCCATCAATAAAAATAGCCCCTGGTCAAGTTTCTTTCCTTCCTTGTAACATTCCACTGTACCTGTGCAATGCCCACACATAACTCAAAACATATGAGCACAGATCCTCCGACCCCACCCCGTGCTGCACATTCTTTAAATGGATTTACAAATAAGAAAAGTTGTGTTGCCTGTCTGACCAAGTGCAAAGAGTGAAAACAAACCATTTTATATCTAATCTGTTAGAGAAACAGCTCGATACAAAATGGAAACAGGTGGCAGCAGATTACCTGGTAGCAGAAAGGGAAACACTGGAGCAAGAAAAGGGGGGAAGAAAGAGAGGTGTGAGAAAGATGGAAAAACAGGACAAATGAAGAACATGCACAGAGAGGCATGCGGAGAAGATTTCACAACAGAGTGCAACAAATGAGGCATTTCATGGGAGGTAAATAAGAAGTGAATAGAAATAATGGAGAAGAATGGCGTTTGTAACCATATTGAGTGATAATAAAGTGACAAAAATACACATCAAATACAAACAAAGAAAAAAAGTCAGATTTGTATTTGCTGCAGTGGGATTTAAACTTCATGGTAGGTAATAAACAAAAAGTATGAAGTACAATCAGTTGGTTATGCCAGTTCATGCAAGTTTATCAGGAAATATTTATATTTAAAATGAAATTATATTGGACTAATATCTGTCACTATGCCTTGGTCAAATGTATACAAACACAAGGTAAATCATTTCACCTCTTGGTAGGTAATGTAGGCCAGCACACCAGCAATGATCTCCAGCAGAAAAATACAGAGCAACAAGCACAAATACTGTAGAGGAGAGACAGGAAATACATGAAATAAACAAGAACACAGCTGGTTCAGATGGTGTGTCAGTGCATTTTTGTGCTAAAACATGACATTAAATGTGATTTAAGATATGATATTAGCATCAATAGTATCTGTGCATAACTAAAACTATAATATTCCAGAGAATAACTTGGTTTAACTGTGGTGAAGGAAGTTATTCATTACAAAGGTTGTGTCAAATTTGGAAACAGACATAACGTCACAGAGCCTGTGCAGTTTTGCTTCTGTATTACATCTTCTCACTGCGTCTGTCTGTGTCTCTCACACACTCTTCAGTCCAAGCAGCCGCTTGTGATGCCCTTCATTCCTCTGGCATGAGCTGCACTCTAAATCTAAACTCTTAAAGACACACTCTGCGTGACTTAGTCTGTTATATTTGACAGTCATGTCATAATGAGCTGCACTGAATGCAGGCAGACAAGACAGAAGGTCACCAAAGATTAACTTTCAGTACGTAGAGGTTGTGTGTGTATAAACAGGAACTTAAAAGTGTCTTTCTTTCGTGTCTGATTCATGGAGTTATTGCTTTGGTGGAGTAAACTAAAACAACCAAGGTAAAAAAAATAACTAAATAAAGGCAGTGTTTTGTATGTCTGATCCATTTTTACCACAATCAAAAGACTCTTCATCTCCTTCAGAGTGGCACAGCATCCGATTATCCCGGTCACTATCACAATGACCCCAGCAGCTATCAGGATGTAAGCTGAGGCTGAGTAGAAGCTGGAGTTCAATAAACTGATGTAGTCGCTCTTTTCCACCAGAGTCCACACTCCCACCGCCAGTACGGCCCCTCCTGCCAGCTGAAAGAACATACCGGTATCAGCTCAACTCAGACCAGATGCTCATATCAAGAATGCAACACATAATTTGTAGCAGTTATAACATAACTCCTGAAATGTGACAGTGATGCAAACTAGACAACGCCTTACTCTTTCTCTGTCAGCCCCAGGAGACATTCAGCTAAATTTGTTTTTGTTATCTTGATGCACATAAATCCCAGCTTCATATCTTTGTGCATATTGTGGAAACGCACACAGTAGCCTATACAAGAGCTCATTTAATCTACTCTTAAACCCTTAAGTTAAGAAAAGGAAATGCAGGAAAACTGAAAGTTGAAGTACAGACTATATGTAGTATTTGATTTTTCGCATAACTATTGTAACTATTAGACACACTAAATAACATCATACATGTAGTTTAGAGAAACTGTATGGAGTATAATATTTTGTGTAAAGAATACGTTGTTTTTGCAACCATGAGAAACAATAGGAATTGTGTGAGATCAATAAAGTAAAAGGAAAATCTTAATTGCAGAGAGATTCTGTGACATCTTAGGGAAAGCATAAGTTTAATGCCGTAAGTCAAAGTTAATAATTATAACAGCACCCAATAGAGTTCTTAACTGAGGCTTTTGTTGTCTTAAATAGAAAAATCTTAACACTTCCTTGTTAACTTACCCAAAAAATAATGTTGAAGAGAAGAAGTAGATATTTCAGACAAATTGTCCCACAGCTGTGTCTTTTCTCACGTTGAGCTTCCATTCTGAAATTAAAATATTTATGTTAGTACACCATAAGAAGAAATCCCTCTAGAGAAGATTAGATTGCACAGTTGAATCCCCACCTCGAGAATTAACACAAGATGCTCAGAGAACAGGTCATACCCTCCAACACTGAAGGTTTTTATCGCATGTCAAGAAGCTAAAGCCTATGGTGCTATATCTGATTGAGAGTAGTCAGTTGCGGTATACATGTAGGAATTTCCTCTTTCAGCCAGCTTTAGTTCCACGTTTGGTGTGAAAACCACCAACACATAAACTACAGAACAAATTAGCTTCCCTGACATCATTTTATCTTTTTTATATATCAACTTTGAGTAATATTACACAGTAGACTAGAAATGAGATGTGGTGTACTTCAAGTTTGCAAAAAAGTTGGTATAAAAGAGCGATGTGAAGAGCTCAAGGATGAAATCAAATATGTTGTGGGGAAAACATACTTAACTTGTGTCACATGTCATCCAGCAGACAGATATATATGTCTCCCATCCCAGTAACTTAACCTGATCTTCTCACACTCCAGTGAAATACTGTTTTTAACTTTTAATGCTTTACTTCATGAATACGTCTGTTTTCATCCTGACTGGAACCGAACTTTCCCCTGCTTCCTTTCTAAGAAAAGTTATGACTCTGAGCATCATGAGAAATTGGGATTTTAGATTTTATGTTTCACTGAACTTTTCATTTTACAAAGAAATAAACAAATCAAGACAGAGTAAAGGAACAATAACTATAATATATATATATAAAAAACACAAAATGTAATGCTGTTTTCCAGCCTTAAGGCAACTGCATACTCCATATATGAAAATTGTCCAGCACAACAAAATCTCCCAATGGTCAGAATCAGAGTTATTTTTAACTCATTGTGTCATGGAAAAACTGCTCTCTCCCTTTCCGCTGAGACTAAAATACTCCTACCTGATTTTAGATGGTGGGCCCTGAAGGATGTAGATTATTGGGGTAACGTCTTCCCAGATCCCACCAACCCCGGTGTCAACACACTGCTGTCCTTGAAGGTTAACTGCAACAGTGCAAGTTCTCAGTTGACACTCAGACCCGAGCCTCCTACCCAAGTGCCTGAGCGTCTGTCCTCGTTTGGCAGCAACAGGCAGCTCCACATGTTATGTAGAGTACATGGCTGCCCCCAGCTGGTTTCTCACGCATATGAGCTCTATTGCCACTAGAACAAATTGAAGATATTGATATTGAAGACTATGACAACAAAGGAGTCATCAAAAATATAATTTATTGGATGGATTATAAAGATACATAACAACATAGGAAAACATTACAGATAGTGTTCAGTAAACTTGACTCAGTAAAAAGTGACTCGTCAACATCCCTCATAACTCCCGTCAACCATGGAGCTGATATCTTTCTTCTTCTGTTCATGTACAGCAGCGTCTTGTAGCGATGTCCTCAGTCAGCAAGAGTGCATCTTCACATTGTCGATCATGCTGGGACACTAACATCCTAAAAAGAAGAAAATCATTAAATCATTGTGCAGCAGAAACCACAACATGTGAGAATAAAAATTGTGATCCTACCGCCAGTTTATCAGTTACATCCCATATCAATGACAGTAGACTAAATGTGACAAATAGTGGTGAAACAATTAGTTGATTGTTGTTAGTTGCAACCATTAAGACCGCAAACCAATTCAACAGCACCACTAACAAAAGTCTCAAACAAAGTTGAATCAACACCTCTAAAATCACTAAAACGTTCATGATGTTTTACATGACTGCTGTATTAAACGGCATACCTAATAAACTTGTATTTTGGTTACAGTGAAAAGCATGATAACAAATTAAGTGTACCAACAAATTGCCAACACAGCAGACACAAACATTTTACAGGATCCAGTTGATGTGAATTAAAGAAATAATATGCCATACCCGGCCAGATCAGTCATCACCTCGTCCATGTTACATCCAGTTTTGGCGCTGCACTCGTAAAACAAAGCTTGGTGTTGCTGTATAAACCAGGAAGTTAAAAACATTTTATTTCATTCATTTCCAAAGACAATATTCCTTTCCTGGCAGTCGCATTATGAGTAAATCACTGCAGAAAGTAGTTTGAATATTCAAATGTGACGCACCTCTGCTAGTCTCTGACCCTCCTCAGTTGTCACTTTTCTGCTGTGACTGTTGACTACCAGGTCCAGCTTGTTCGCCAGCAGCATCAGTACCGCACCTTCACACATCTTCTCCTGTGACAGACATACAGCAAGTTAAAATACACTACTATTAGTGTTGAAAACAGAAGCAAAACAAAGGATATCAATGGTATAGAACGATTAATCATACCCATCATTCTGGTATTTTGAGATAAGTCACATCTGCAGGCAGGTTGTCAGTGTGGTTGCTGTGAAATGATGTCAGTACTCCTTCTTGTGTGTTTTGGGAAGTTGCCAAGAAAGTCTCATGCATCCTGCTATAAACCTAAATGTCCACCATCGTCTGTTCTAAATGTTTGCAAGTTCATGTTTCATCATAAATGAAAGCGAATCTCAAACCATCACAGGCTAGTGTTAAATATATATTATGTTATACTGTATAGAATAATCCAGTTAAATGACGTTTCTTCTGACATACTGTACCCTGCTCTCCCTTAAATACCAGTCACGTTCTGAAGCATAACCCAAGTGTATTAGATTGTAATGTACATGACATAATGGAAATATACATAACTTTTCTTTGTTTGGATATTGTCATTATATATCGGCCATCATTCTCTAACTATTGGCATCGGCCACTGAAAAACCCATATTGGTCGACCACTTATCAATAGTAATGCTATTACGTTGCCAACATAAACATTGGACAAAATATCCCAAAAATCAAAAAGATAAGGACATTAATCACTTAGATGGCATTAGTGTCTATAGAGATTTCCTATTGCTCTGTATTGTCATTTACCTGCATGTGTATTCAAATTGAGACAAACTGTTTTGCATGTTTTTCCATCCAGCCATCTGTGACATCTCCACCTGCTCACCTTCACTGAGTCCATCCATCCTCTCACGGCGGTGAAGGAGGGGGAGTGAGTTAGGTCATACATGATGAGGATACCGTCAGCCTTACGGTAGTACTGCTCAGTGATGCTGCGAAACCTGAATAAAAAAAAAGGAACAAAACACGAAAAAAGCTCAATTTGTATTAACTGAAATACGTAAAGATACAACAAAAAAAGCACATGGCTGGTAAACATGGGAATAATCTGTCTGACCTCTCCTGTCCTGCAGTGTCCCACAGCTGCAGGGTGATGGTGGTGGAGCCCAGAGTTAAAGACTTCATCTGGAAATCTATACCTAGAAACAACAAGGTTTCATACTTTACTTAAAAATATATGTATACACTGAGGAGCGTGTTATTCATTGTGAAAAGGAGAGAGAAGCTTACCAACAGTAGCGCTGATATTGCTGCAGAAGTGTCCTGTGCTGTAGTGCTGGATGAAGGAGGTCTTACCCACTCCTGAGTTACCCAGGAAAACCACCTTGAACACTCGCTGAGGACTGACAATTCTGCACTAAAATTCAGGTAAAGGTACCAAACTTAACATTTTTATATCAGTGTCATGTCTTCTTATTCTCTACCAAAGACAAATATGTGCTCCATCATTGCTATGCAGATCACAAAAGCCTTATCATGATACAGTAGGCCTCCAGCTGTTGTGTTATAAAATGGATGGATTTGGGATTTTAATGTATTGGTAGATTTTGTATGTTCCCTACCTGATTTTGCATCTGTTCAACATTTTCACAACTGACTCTACATGACGGTTGCTGCCTGTTGGATGAATTTGTCACCTCTTTGACTTTGTCCTGCTCCAACTCATCAGATGAGCTCCGCTGTCTTCAGAATCAATGAATACACAAAAAATTAGTTGCTTCCTTTCATGGCAATCTGCCTCGCATTACTGGACAAATGGTAAATGTGACTTAAGTCATACAAACCTTTTCAATGGATTGTCTTGCAGTAAGTAGTTACCTATGACTGACCCTTTCTTCTGCAAACTCTTTGTGACATTTGGAGTCTAAAAGGTTTTTGTAAGGCAGAAGAAATGAGTTGCATTAAGGTTTTTATAATATGCGGTTTATATAGTGTAAATATATGGGTGTGCTATGGTAAGTTTCCAAGGAATATTAAGTAAAACTGTCTTCTCTGTGGAAACACAGACAGGCACAAGCAGAATATTTGATATGTATGTTTAAAAAAGCAAGTATTCAGTCCAATAGTGACATTTATTCTGCAAGAAGTTTAACATCGTAATCATTTATCAGCGATACACTTATTTGATTATAAATTATACGACAAAAATACAAGAAATTATGTTCATTGTGTTCGGTTTCTTGAATGAATATTTTGAATTTAGTTAACAAATGCCATATATTGATTTTGAAGCGGATGGGATAAAGGGGATCAGCACTCCTTTAAGAATTGTGACAAATGGTTTTATTAGTTTGGTCAATACTGACTCATTTCAGTTCACCTGCATAAATAAAGCTATGTACAGTATCATTAATATACATATAAAACACTCTTTCATTCAAGTTGACACAGGACAGAATAAATGTCTTTTCAACAAAATCCTTCACTTCACTGACCAAGAGAAAAAAAGACATTGCTGACATGGCAGAAAAATCTGAAACCGTGTCAGCGACATTAAGTTCAATCAATAACCAAATAATAACAGCTGCCCATATAAATAATCATTGTCCAGAGGATGGAATAAAGCATGACGCTATTCCAAGACTTAGCTTAGGTGGGATAAATCTTCCGTGCCCACGGGGTACAAAGGTCTTCACTGAGGTAATAATTTAATGGCAGATGAGGAAGGACAGAGTGTCTGTGACTAACCCTCTTCTGAGACTGTTGGGCATCTTTCTCATCGCGCAGTCTTTTGTTCATATCCCTGACACAAAGAGACAAAAAAAAATTACAACCAACATCACACAATTTGATCCATGTTTAGAGTAAAAAGAAAGACACACTGTAATTACATTCATTGCTTTACAAGTTCAGTGTTAATCTAAAAATTATGTCAGGAAATTTATTTTATCTTCACAACAAAAATAACTCGATTGAAACAGCAGCTGTTACCTCAAAAGCTCCAGTTGTCTCAAGAGACTATCCTTCTCTTTCTGCATGTTCCTCGAAACCTTCATCACATTACTACAGTGAAGCAAACAAAATATTGTTACAGGACGAGTCTGGCGGTCTGAGTGACGTTTGCTAAAAATGACAGTGCCCTTACACAGCTTTATTATAATTACAGCTTTATGTTATTACTTAACAACCTTTTTTTTAATGAAAACTATATAGTTGGAGCTGTTTGTAAAGATTTATCTCTTCAGTCTGGACAAATGTGCCTTGGTCTGAGTGCCACAGGCAGGGTAGGGAAGTGACTGATTCATCTTTACGCTCAACTGAAAAAACAAGTCCAAATGATTGTGTACAATAATCTAATTGTGTCTCCATTTTAGTACCTTTAAACTTGTCTGACATGGAAAAGTTATGCATGCTTTTATTTGATCTCACATTAGCAATGATAAATTCTTTCTGGTCTTGATCAAAAAACTCTGAACAGCCTGCAGCTAGTTTGACTGGAACTGGAATGAGAGATCATATGACTCCCATGTGTTCATTATTCTGTTTCACAAACTCACTTTGTAATCAAATTACTAGAAAGAACATGTTTCAGTCGTGCTTCAAGGAGAGACAGTGTTTCATGATCCAATTTTTGATACATCTTTTGGAACATTTACAACATTTAGTATGTGCTGTTAGCCATTCACCTCTTTCTGGTCTCTTGTTCCTGGGTAGCGTCGTGCTGCAGCAGGCTGAGCTGACCCAGAGCGGCCTGCAGCTGCTCTCTGCTGCTCTCCACCTGCTCCAGTAACTGGGCGTTGAGGCTCCGCAGCTGCTGGTTCTGCTCCTTGATGTTTGCCTGTTCACAGCTCAGCTGCCGGATTTTGGTCTCCAGCTTAAGACAAGGACAGATCTTGTTGATTCACTCTAAGACTCTTTGCACGCTTCAGAAATAACATTTGTGTTGTTTGGACACCTACCTCTTTCTGTTTGATCAGTGTACTCTCCAACTCTTGCTCACGCATCTTCAGCTCCTCCTCAAGTTTCCGCCCTCTCTGCTTATGTTTAATACTGTCCTTGATTTCACAATAAATTCATTAAATTCTATTATAATGAACACTTTTGTTAAATGGCACAAAAGCTGGACTAAAAAGCACGCATCTGTACCTGAGCCAGGCGTTTCTCTCTCTCCTCTCGGATTTGGCTTTCCATTTCTTCATATATGGACCGAATAACCTGATCATGTTCGCTCTCCCGTCTAGAACAGAGAAAATCTCATGAAAAAAACTCAGAGTTAAAGGGCACAATTAATCTATATTGTGTTTCACATGCAGGGGACATTGGTAGGAAGATGGCACCTGCGTAGAGCTTGTTCAAGACTATCTCTCTCTCTGATGGAGTCCTGTAAATGGGACACTGCGTGGATCAGTACGCCTTCGAGGGCGTCAACCAGCTCTGGTCTGTCTCGCTGGAGGTCACACCACAGAGAGCATAACTCCTGCTGACTGACACACAACACGACACAACACAAAGCTGTTAAAGTGATCTTAACAGCACAACATCACTTACATTACAAAAAGATAAACTGATAAACTGTATACATACAGGAGTGGTAAGGCTCGACTCAACTCTACTTGCTATTAGATATACATTCAGTTCCAGTTTATTAGGTACACCTCGCTAAAACGAATGCAGTCTAATGCAACAATCCTGCAATAAATCCTAAATTTATGAGGGCTTTAATGTTTAGTTTTAGTTGAAACTGTTGATGTTGATTCAACTTTATGGTAACTTTGGAGGTTGTGGTTCTGTTCAATTTTATTGCGTTGTTCTGGCAGGTGTTTCCACTATTTTGTTCAGGCTAAAGAACAGAAACACCTCAGTATTAACCTGCATTAGTTTGAGTACTTAGGTGTACCTAATAAACTGGCGACTGAGTGTAGATTTATATATGCTACTGTAGAAGTCAAGGGGAACCCTTAGTTAACAGCCTGGATGGCAAATCATTTGTGACAGTGATCTTACTCTTTGAAGAGTTTGTCAGCACCCAGCTCCATCAGTATGTTTACAAATCTAACTGCAGTGGGGTCTTGGGCCCAGTACATCCGGTCCATATCCTCTTCTGCTTCATCTTGACTCAGCTCAGTTGTGTCCTCCAGCCCCACAAACTCACCTGCACCACAGACAGAGAGGATTTGGTTTAAAAGTGGATGACAGAGCAGTAGCTTTCCCCACAGATGCTATAGTGAAGAGTGCTCAAATTATTCGACAATATACACTCACCAAGTCCTGTGTTGAACTCAACGGGAGTGAGGAATCCGTTGCTCCGTCGGTCCAGACTCTCAAACACCGTCTCCAGCTGTTCAGGGGAAAGCGGCAACTCCCCTTGGAGCCTCTGACCACAAGAAGATGGAAAGTTCAAGACTCCATAAATCGGCCTAAATGTTGTTAGTTCACCACATCAGCTGCTCACCTGCATATCCCGCTTTGTGATAAAACCTTTCCCCTCTTTGTCACACAGCACAAACAGCTCCTTGGCCTTGCCCATGGTCTCTGCCTGAGGGCTTCCTGGCACCGCCTCTCTGGGTGAAGCCAGTTGACTGCGTCCCCTGCTTGGCATGGGGCTCCCAGCTGGTAGGGCCCGAGGTTTGGGGCTCACTGGTACTGCCTCACCTCTGCCTTGACCCACCAGCACTTCCCCATCATTCAGCCACTTAGACATTACTGCAGGTATGAGTAGAGAACTGGTGTATGTGTCTATCATTAAATACAGGCTGTATATACACAGGCTGACTTCATAGTTTGACATTTGATATTGAATGTTTCACTTTGTCCAGGAGACAGGAGAAGCAAAGCTCAACAAAATCAACAAAAAAAATCTGTAACTATTTTTATAATCAATGAATCAATGAGTCATTTTCAACCAGAAATAGTGGAGGAAAAAAAGCCAACCATTTTCTGCTTCCGGCTTCTCAGTGAGTTAACAATATCATTGTAAACTGAATATCGAAACCCCCCAAGATATTTAAAGAAGTCACCACAGACTGTAGGTGGTTGTGCTTTTTTCGCTTTTTTAAAAAAATTTCTCTAAATGATGAGTCAATTAACTGAAAGTTATTATTATTTACAGCCCCAAGTATTTCAACTAAGGCTGCAACGACTGGTCATTTTCATTATCAATTTATTAGTCAATAATTTAATCGATCATTAGAGTAGATATTAGTTGTTTGGTCAGTAAAATGTCAAAAAATGTTGAACACTGCCCAGGGTGACGTCCTTAAATGTCTTTTGTTCACAACCCAAAGATAATCAGTTTATTGTCATTGAGGAAAAAATAAACCAGAAAATATTCACACCTGCGAAGCTGAAATCTGAGAATTTTGACTTTTCTTTTCTTAGAAAATGACTCAAAACTATTAATTAATTATGAAAATACCTGCTGGTTAATTTAATAGTTGACAACTACCATCAGATACCATCAGTTTTAGGCGTAATCAGAGACATTTACTTTCTTGATGACCCAGAATTAATTAAAAAAAGACACTTTGGATGTTCTCACTTCTTGCTGCGAGATATTGTGAGAAGCTGAACATACAGGTCCTCCCATGTCAAACATGAGATGCAGAACAAACTAAGCTGTGACTGCGCGCATTATCTCCAGCTGCTGTGAACAGGTGTCAGATAGGTCCACACGCAATAAGATTTTTGAGGTATCTCATATGACGGCATGTTATTTTACATATTTCTATGAAAAACGTTAATGTTTCTGAGGAAGGGGAAAACATAAATTCTTAGCTTCATGCAGCACAACCAGTAAACTTATATAAATGGTAGTAGAGTGCATGGCTGTGCACCAGGATATGTAGAGGGTAAAAAACAGGATGGTGTCATGTGAGAAGATTTAATGTGTACTCTAAGGGGAGGGCAGATTGTCAGGGCAGAGGAGATGCAAATAAAACATTTGCAGTTGTTTGCATTGTCAGAAATACCACAACTGCAAACAGATTCTACTCTTAGGAACTACAGGGGAACATGCCTCAGTATCTCCGTGAACATTCATAAAACAGTGATTTATGACTGACTGGATATTTTTTTATTCATTTCCCTTACACAGAAAAAACATAAACATAAATCATAAATAGTGTCATTTAAATATAATTTTAAATGTTTGAAAAAAAAAAAAGATATTTCTGGAGGTCATCTGGCTTAAGGTACACACTGACTTGAAACCTGCATCACTGTTAAATGAAATATAACCTCTCCTTCCTATCTCTCCAGCCCTGCTATAAAAGGCCATAAAACCAATTCCTAAACGTTTACTGACAAACAAAGTGGCAAGTGAAGCATCTTGCTGATGATCTACGAAGATTAAAACTTCCTTATGCCACTAGAGATACGCTGGTATTCCTGATACAAAAAGGCTTATGTAAACATCAGATGTTAAGGATTTTGTATGTCAAACTAGACTCCCAATAAGCCAACAGCCACACCAAAGGTCAAATAGACTTACACACCTAACACACTATTTAGCAAGGTCGGTGTGTGGCGCAAGGTGGAGTTCAGCACATACAGAGAAAGTGACTACACCTAATTAAATAGTTTACAACATGTTGTAGGCTTCAAAAACAGTCAAACGGCCCCCCACACTTTCTCTGATAAATGTCAACATAAGAGCATACTCACTGGGTTCACTTAGAACATATGTTGCTTAAAAGAAAACACTCACTGACAGCTCTGATGATTAAACCGCAAGGTAAACACACAACATGGTAGTGAAATGCAGATTAATGTTTGCGACGGTGCCGAAAAAGTTGGACTAAAACTCAGCAAGGCAACAATGCCATGAATGAAACAGCTCGACAGTTACATGCGACCAATTCTAGAGCAGCTGAGGTGAACCAAAACCCCAAGGGAATAAGGTCATGTCCATTTATTTATTATTAAACAAGAACCACACAACAACACAGCAGTTAGTCGGTTGTTAACGCACCACAGCAACGAGAGGAGTGAACACTTAGTCGTAATATTTCTAAAACGACTCAACATTACTGTGTTTTAACATGAATTCAGCCAAGTAGGAGAAACTTCGACTACTCACCTACGGTGCACCGGACGACGGTGTCCACTAACGTTACCTCTGATCACCTCACGTTACTTCAGTCTCATACCGGCTCGAGCCGCTGGGTGGCAGTGACGACTGCGCGCTGTCCCGACACTACCGTAATGTTCGATGTAGACCGCGAGGACAAAGCCACGCCCGCCCAAATGTTTACTAATTGTTTCCACTTCCACACCGCAGCTGTTTTTTCGATAACATTTAGGCAATTGCAGATTCGTTGCAAGCAATACAACAACAAAGCGTATCGTACTCCCTATTGTTTTTGGCGACATCGTTTTTGAGGGATATTCCGAGGAACCTATACGTGCGTTATTACGGTAAAAAGCTGCGTTACCATGGAATTTACGGAAATACATACGTTACCGCTGAAAAGCAGCAGTGGGCTCTCCAAGTGGGCGGCATTGTTTGTGGATAAAAGTAGGAGTAAGCGTGATTTAGTGGTTATTCTTGGCTCTGAGTGACTTATTTTCACTCTTCGCACGTTTTTTACTGGTAAGTGGGTTGTTTAAAATAAGCGTTCTTTAAACATTATTGTGAGAGTCAAACGGTGTAAACGTATCTGGAGGGAGTTTAAATCTGAGCTGTGCCAGTGCCACCCGAGTGATCTGTTGTGGAAATACGATTGTGAAACAGTCGGTGGTAATTCTATTATCCGTCTCCCAGATTATCTTCAGCCATCACATAACGTTAGGTTACCGTCCTGGAGGTAGATTAGGTGCGTAAAAAAGAAATGTGCAACCAGAACAGAAGAAACAAAAACACGAGATGGTGTTGTCCGTGTAGGTGAAATTAGTCTTTAATCCGAGACTTTACCTTTCGAGCCCGGGCATGTTTACGTTACATGTGTAGGTTTAATTTAGCTGTCTGTTACATCCACCCTCATCCGCACTGGAAGATGGCTACAAGGCAAAAGATATAAGATATGGTACAGCTTTCCTCTTCTTTCCTCACAGGAAATGCAGCAGACCAGCTGGAGACTTTCCACACCAACTATGTCAACTTGCAGGATATGAAGAGATCTCAAACATCTAATCTGATATCTGGGACCGCCTGCAATCATCACCAGGATACTCTTTTTCCCTGAGGACAATGTTTCTGAGCAGAGGAGCAACCCGGAGTAAAGAAAACCTGAAGCAATATAACATTTAGAGAGAAATCCACCAGTTTCTGACTATGTGAATGGACAAGTTGTGAAGTCAGAAGTGTCTGTCTGCTTCTAGACCTCTGCAGTGTTTTTGTACTGAAGTATGTAAAGGGTGAATCTACATCAACAGACCACCTGCGTTTTGCAAGTGTGAAGAAAAAGCAGCTGGAAGCAAGGAGGTGAATAGACTGTGAAGCTTGGTGGTTTTCAGGATCGACCCCTGAAGATGCTCCAGACCAGTAACTACTCTCTGGTGCTGCTGATCCAGCTGACACTGTTGACCTATGACCTCTTCGTGAACTCCTTCAGTGAACTCCTGAGAGGAGCGCCTGTCATCCAACTAGTGCTTTTCATGTAAGTCACTAAACTACATGCGTCAGTGATTTATCAGTCAGGTCAATTATTAGTCAGTCAGATGAGAGTAAATCGATCTAGTTGATTAATTTTTTTTTAAGGACAGTTTGTTCAAGTTATCGAGTAAAAATATTATCTGGTTACATCTTCAACACCTGCAGATTTGCCTTCTTCTTTTCATATAATTAACATTTATTATATTTTATATAATTGCATTATCTCAGCTTATTCTTAATATTCTATAAATGTAATGACAAACCACTTACCAACCATTAAACATCCATTAGATTAATCAAGAATGAAATGATAATTAGTTGTGACTCTCATTTGCCAGAGATTGACTGAAACTAAATATGTTTAAGGCTGAAAATAGCAGTAATGTATGTGTAATAAACAAATCCCTTAATATAATAGCAGCCAACCAGACATTTACATTATTCAGATGCTTACGAGCAATTTAACTTTACTTAAGTTATGTAAATACTGAATAAATACTAATTAATTATATATAATAATATGTTCACCTAACTGATACATATCAGTCTTACACAGTGTCCTCTCTTCTTGCATTGATCAGTAATTGAAGGCACACACTGCTCACTCCATCAGAAACCATTTTTTAAAATAAATAAACCAGTAAAATCTGTGTCTACAGCATCCAGGACATTGCCATCCTGTTCAACGTGATCATCATTCTGCTGATGATGTTCAACACCTACGTGTTCCAGGTCGGCCTGGTGTCCCTGCTGCTGGAGAGATTCAGGGCTCTGCTGATGTTCTCTGCTCTTTACCTGACCCTCAGCATCTGCTTCCACTGCTGGGTGCTGGTACGCTTCGTCACACCATCAGACACCCACATGTCAAACTCAATTTAACATGTGTCCAAGTGAAATATTGATGATACATTTATGCTTTCTTTAATCAGAGTAACTGCGCAATTTTGATCCATACAAGTGTTTCCTTTTTTTTCCTAGAACCTCAGATGGCTCGAGTCAAACCGTTTTGTTTGGACAGATGGTCTTCAAGCTCTTTTTGTTTTCCAGAGAACAGGTAGATTAATCCAGAGGTATATTTTCCATCACAACTAATTTAGTTTCTGTAGTCATTGAGTAACTGCTTCTTTCTGTTGGCAGCTGCAGTTTTGTATTACTACTTATACAAACGCACGGCAGAGTATATGGGAGACCCGAGGCTGTATGAGGACTCTCTGTGGCTGCGAGACGCCTTTGCTAGAGCTCGTCAGTGAAGAGGGGACAGTTTTGTGACTTCAAAGGACAATGGACATCATCATCAGCTATTGTGAATTTTGGATTTTATTTTCACATTTAAAAAAAAAAGTTTACACTATTCAACATTTAGAACAAAGCATTTGGCTGATGTTGAACACTGGTGGAACTCACTAACAGGTAAAGAGGATGACGAGAGGTCTAAACCAGAGTTTGTGTTTACTGGCTCCTGGTAGCCAAGAGGGCAGGCAGTTAAATGGTTTACAGTGGCAGGTAAGCCAACCATGGCATGTGTAGTATTGTATTAATCAGGCTTGGGTCTGTTAATCTATGTGGCCTTTGTAAATCAATTTGTGTTGCACACTAAATGAAAGAATGTCAAACATTTAGGAAAAGACAGTTGTAGATGCAGATATGGCCTCCCATGGCAAGTCTGTTTTGATCTGTACTAATCCACCATTTGTAGAACACATAGAAGTAGCTCCGTTGGAAAAGTTTTTTTATTCCCCCACAAAGGAAGAAACCTGTTGGTTTGTTTTGCCTTATGTAAGGTAAGTATGTGCTGTGTACACCAGCCAATTTTTATGTGAATCCAGTTGTCTTTGAGTGTGGATCTTTTAATCGTGTTCCTGCTGTTTTTATTAAATCCTTCTCTAATCCCGGTGTAATCCTTCATCACTGGAGTAGTCAGTATTATCCTGGAGACAAGGTGAAACAGACTGCTCTATTTTTAACACAAAGATTAATCAGGGATTGAGGTTTTAGGCGCAACTAGTGAAACGCATCTTAAATAACCTTCTAATCTCAAGCAACCAACAGGTTAAGTTGCAGTGAATTCTGGTCTCATCTCATTAAAATTGTTAATCAACATTTTATATATACAATCTGTGATTTTATGGAGGTCTGTGAACTATCGCAATCACTGCAGGTATCAATTTCAACAAAGAAAGACACCAAGAATTTTACAAATCCCCTTTACTTGTGAAAAGAAAACAAAATCAGAAAACCAGAATATTGTCAGTGCAGTCCAATTAAATCCAGTTGGTGCTGTCCTTGGTTCCACTGGAATGTGTCATTCTTTTAAGTCAGTCACCCGAAAACTGCAGGAAACAAGAGGGAGGGGGAACAAAGTTGACCACTCAAAACTGCTTCAGTGATTAAAAATATAAAGTATAACACTTTAAGAAGATTTTATTGTACCTTCATACATAGATGCCAACCCAGAGTAGTAGGAACAGCACACCAAAGCCCATGAAAAGCGACGCCACGAGGGAGATGAGCAGCTCCTTGTAGACGTCCCTTGTGTATTTTGTTGACGTCACCTCATAGCTGATGAAAAGTTAAGGGTTAACTCATAAAAAAAGAAAAGGACAGCCAAGTTCTGTGCTCTTTGTCATGTCTAATCCCTCCTGCTGTTTCCATTCCGATCAATAATTGTGCCTTTAAATTGTTTACGTCCATCAGCATTACTGCACTATGATGTAAAAGTCTCAATCTCGTATCTAAAAATCTTTCTGAGAGGAACTGAACTTTGTAAATGTGTTGTAGTGTTAGGATATTAAAATTAGCTACTACACTGTTTGAAGATACAACAACTGAAAGTGAACACACACAAACTATTATAATCCCTTATTGCACAGGGAAACACCCATCATCTCTGACATGTTCCATAGGTCAATGTTGAGGCAGGAGTTACGTCTGTAAAGTGTTTGGATGTTGATAATGGACAGGTAACAATTTTATCATTCACCTTTATTTTCTACATACGGTTACATTTTTAAAACTCAAGTGCGAGCATCAGATTGCTTCTTTTCCAATCATACTTCTGTTTGGAGATGTTCTAAATATCAGTAATTTACTTAGTGATTACAGTTTTATTGTTATTGGTTAAAAATAAGTCCCAAGTTGTAATAAATGTATAATTTAAATGCCACAGTTTATTCAAAACGAGTGGAAAGCAGTAGGTGGCTTTACATATAAAGTAGACATATAGTATGATTTGTTTATTGTGCTGTATGATAACGTGTGCCATTGGAAGAAGTGGCAAACCAATGACACGTTAAGCCAGCAGTAATGTAAAGCTCACTTTACATTGCAATATGCAAAGGCACTGCTATGATGCCTAAAACCTCTTGTGTGATCTTCCTGTAGGTTTTCATTCTGCAGTAGCCTCCCGGTGTCTGTTATAACCCATTCTTTCAGATTAACCACATACACAGTGCAATGTAGAACAAGCAGTGAAAAGGATACACGAAGAACCAGGCAGTGAAGAACATGCCGATGGCCAGCAGGACGACAGTGAGGTGGGGGAACACAGCCGGGTTCACCGGACTGGTGTATCTGGTCATAGCCTCGAGTTCCTGCAGCCACAGCAAACAGAGAGAGTAGATACAAGCTGTCTGTATCACCTCTACTTTAACCTCCTACCATCATGTGCCGGGCATATAGCGTTTGATTAATGTTACAAACACAACAATAAAGGCAAAACACACTGTCTGACATGAGAGGCTAGCGTTCCTCTGCATCTACAGCTAAATAAAATGTCATTTCACACAGAAAGCGCTTCATTATCGCGATGAAACTGCAAGCAACGTGCACTGATAAACGATATGTTATTGTATATTACAGTTTAACTTGTCTAAACTAGATAAAAACGAGTAATTGTACCATTTTGTAATGAAGGGGAGCTCCTTTTCCTGCGATCCAAGATGAAAAGGCCACGTACTGACTAGCTCTTCCTGGTTTCTTCGCGACGTGATGACGTGCAGTTGACGTTGGACAGCGGACATTTTGTACCCTCAGTACGGTCTGTCAGGATCCCCTTCCTCACAGGCTGCGTACCAATATCACGTCTTTCTCCTGGATTGACAAGCACACTCATATGTCTAAACTCCCCCATTGTCTTGTCGTTTTCATTTTCTTTTTAAAACTTGTTTTGCGGTGATGAGAAATGTGATACCGGAGAGTCAAAGTTCAGGGCATATAGTTTATCCCTCTTCCTTCCTTCACAATGTTCGGCTGCCATCTAATGGACATAATTAGTTTTCAGCTGAAGCAGTTGGACAATCAAACACAGCAGAAAATTCAATCACAAATTTATTTACTACATGCATTCATAGTATTACAGCATATTTTTGATAAAACGCTTTCAAAATGTAATAATAAAATGGGCTTAGAGAAACTAGTGATATTAAAGTACTTAGCCAGTTTTAGTGTTATGGCATTTTCTCATAACAAATTGGGGTAGAATCAGAAATATGTGTGTGTGTGTGTGTGTGTGTGTGTGTGTGTGTGTGTGTGTGTGTGTGTGTGTGTGTGTTTACGTGCTTATCAATCATTTCTGGGCTCATTAGCTAAACGTTAATATATTATTGATAATGCAACAACCAAAAAAGTATCAACTATAAAAACAATATGATAAAACACATCGGATAAAAAGGAGCATTGGTAGTAACAAAATGAAGCTATACAGTTACATGTAATGCATATACCAGTAAATGAACAGTCTGGTGCACTGGATAGAGCAAAAGCAGTTCATATATACAGTGCAAAAAGTGCTACAGTGGTTTCATTATGATAGCTGGTGCATTATAAATAAGCTAATATAGTACACTATACCCACTGAAGTCATAATAATTATACTGAAAGCATTGTATAGGGTCTTCATATTATGACAGATAAACGTTTGTCTGATGGCACTTCTTCCTATTTAATATTGATTTTACATTTGAGATACACTATTGTGTTTTTTTCTTTCTGAACACGGACAAATGGAATATGGATTTAAAAACAAATGTTAAAAACAAAAGCAACAAAAGCATGGTGGTGAGAGTAAGTGGAGAAAGCTTTTAAAACAAGAAAGGATAATAGAAAACATTAACAATTCAGTTATATTAAAAGTGTTATCAGGGCATATTCCTAATAGTAAAGGCACAGGAAAATATTCAAAACATCCAGAGAAATACATGAAAGAGTCCAGTGTATAATAATCAATTTTTATCTCTTGAGTGTGCGTAAATAAATGCAACTCTTTCTCAGCTTTATGATCGAGCCATTAAAATGGAATTTCCAAAGCTGAAGCAGCATTTGAGTTGCCTCTGAGCTGAGATGTATCATTTTAGAGAAATGATTGGGCATGCACCTGACATGATATATGCCATTAATTGCCTTTACCAGCATTCTGTCCAGTTAGCAAAATACAGTGTAAGCCTTTCCAGTGTTTCCTGAAATATTGTCAGTGTTGGCATTTCCACGATCAGATGTTAAGAGCTGTCAGTGTTCCTACATGTTCGTTTCCAGTGATTTGTTTACCTATCCAGTCTCATTGCGTGTCATCCAGTGAATCTGCTGACATGTATATGTATGCCTTGATATACTAAAACGATAATAAGGATTTTTGTGTAATACTATAATATGAATAAACATTTAATGGAACAATTTGATGTTTCATTCAATGTCATAATTGAGATAAGTATACTGCAGAGTATTTCCCGCTCTATACAGTGTTTAGTTAGATGCTGCATAAGGAGATGGCAGACAGTCAGTCGACTGCAGCAGCCTCAAACACAATGCTCCACTGTAGAGACCTAGGATTTGCCAGTGTGCACTACTGAGGTATATTTCCAGTGCAAGTTGCAACCATTCACTGAGGCCTTCAGCAGAAGCCAATGATCTTCTCTCCAGTGTATAAAATCTACAGAAAAGTGTTTTTGTTTTCACTTGACACTGGTTTCAGTGTACATACGGATGCATTGCATTATACAAAATGTGTGTAGTGTCATCTACAGTATCTTAGCCTGAACTTCATTAAGAAACTTGAATTATGGCTTATAATAAGTATGGAAGACATAGTGATCAGTAATTAAGTGAGTTATAAACTCATGGATGTTACGTACATAATGGCAGTTAACAGTGACACAACACAATTGTAAATTACAGTGATCTAAAACATTTTCAGTGATAGACAAACAAAAAAACCTTGAACAGTGTTTGAAATTCCAGTGATCACAGCAAAAAGAGATGTCTTAATACATATACATATGGAGGGGATTACAGTGGGGACAGTGGTATATAGTTTGTTCTGTATGAATATCTTTAAAAATAATGTACAGTATTGAGACAAAACACAATCCCATCAAAACAGCGTACAAATAGAACCACAAAGGAAACACGTGGTGTATTGTAAAGGCACTGGGACACATCGTCTTCCTTCTCACACACAGCTGCTTTGAATGAGAAAATGGTAGTCAGAGTATGATGAGGCTTCTCCTTCAGTGGCACAACTCACTTCACTCTGTCATTGAAAAGCATAAGGAGATACAAATCATTCATCAGTTTAAAAAACACAATAAATGGATCAAACAACCACACAGAGAGGAACCACGTCTACAGCGTCTCAAATCCCCTCATATTTTGTTTACTCACAGACAGGGAGACACGGAAGTGATAGGTGATGTCCTGGAAAGACAACACAGGCACTGACCACAGGTGATGAGTCCCCTTAAAGAAAAGTATAAAGAAAATGATGAGTCGGTGAACTGGTAATTTGCAGTAAGTCGCCTTTGGAGAAACAAGTTCTGATTAATGATAATGATAGTTTGACATAGAAAATGACAAAAAAAGAAAATACATTTTGATTATATGATGGATCACGATTAAGTACATCATTATGTACCTTTGTTGATGTACTCTCTCCACCGTAGAGCTCTGTCTCTGTGTGGTTGGGGCATAAACGTCCCTTGGTGGCTCCACATTGTCGTACCCACACGCCGTTCGTGGACCTGTAATGAATTAAATATGTCTTATGTGTAGATTTACAATTAAAATTAGTTTTTTTAGTATTTCCTAACAATTTTCATAGAATTTCATGTTTTACATAGCTTCAGTGGTAGTTGTAGTTTCAAGACACTGTATCTGCAAAACATTTTGTGTATGGGGTTCTGTGCATGTCCCCGAGACTAGCAATTAACTAGAATTAATTAATTGGAAGTGTACCAACTAAAGCCTGTGTCTATTTCACTGATGATCAGTGCCATATTACATGGTTCTTCACAGGAAAATTCAAAATTATTAGGAATTTACAGACATGTAAAACAAAGCATTACCATTTTGTATGTGCAGTTATGTAAATAGTGTGATGTTTTCATACTCACGTCATGTGCAAAGTGATTTGTGAGATGGAGGAATTTCTGTTTCCATGGAGTGATACTGTGTAACTAGAGTCAACATAGAGGAAAAATAGCATCAAGCCTTAAGACCTGAATTCAAAGTGTAACTGTGTAAGAGGTGAACATCAACTAGTGACATTTTTCAGGATAGTATACCTGCAGCTCTCAGGTGTTGCGCAACTTTGTGCTGTGATCTCTTGGTTTGTCTCCACGATATGTAGACTAGTCAGAGAGGGAGCTGACCTTCCTCCTGCAAAAGTAAGAAAAGCTGCACTATGAGCATTATACCCATCGCATTCCATTGTACAGTATGAAGATAAGCTTTGTTTGCTGTTGTCAAACAAATGGCCTTACTGTGTTTGCATACTTCATATTATGTGTGTGAAGAAAGTGCCGTGTCTGGGCTGTGTTTGTAGATTTACCCTTTGTGTATAGGCTGCGTTGTCTGCGTGATGCTGGCTGCTGACCCACAGGCAGACGGTTGGTAGCTCCCACTCCATCCAGGTCTGCTGGTCTTTTGGACTTGGCAAAGTACAAAGGTGCTGAGGTGTGACTCAGACGGTTTCTAAAGCGGCTGTCCTTGTCCATTGGTCTGGACTTGGCCTTCTTAATTATAGTGCTTGGAGTGGGAACCAGGCTGCCCAAATCTAGAGAAAGCGGATAATTAATCTGCGCTGAAGACAAATGTATACTACAGGAGAACATCTCATATTTGCTTACTTACCTGGTGTGGACTGGTTGTTACTCAATGTCAAAACTGTAGCTGATTGGTTGTTTATGGCTGTAGTTGAACAGCAAGCTGGAGAATTTGTGGGAGAAAAGCGAAAAGGATCAAATCTGAGTAAAATATATTCAGTATGTCTTGAGTGAGCTTGTTACTTGCCGTGCATTTTAATAACCACCAAATTTAGTCCTCCACTCACCTGGTGCAGGGGTGGTGGATGGTGGAGTATATGGACTCTTACGTGAGGATCCAAGTGCAGCTCTGGACCTGCACCAATCAGATAGCAGTACAGTAGGTCAAGAGCATGCTTTAGCTAAATGATATGTTTAAAACTCAATTAATTTTAGGGTGTTTAGATACGTGACTCATGATCTCCTTTCAGACAGGACAAAAGAAACACCCAACTAAGCAATCACAGATAAGACTGAAAGAGTAGATCAGAAAATTAACTAAGCAGCAAGAAAGGCAGGTGTTGAAAGCGTACCATGGGCAGACAGGTGGACAGAAAGTTACAGTGGCAGTAAAGATGGGCATCCAAGAGATGTAGAGAACACAGGGAGGAACATAGCTACAGAAAGAAGGAACAGATTATATAGAGAGACATTAATGAAGAAGGGGAAAAATGATTTCTTTCACTAAAAAGCTTAAGTGTCTGTCTCCCTCAAAAGCACATACCCATCTTTCTCTGTGACGTCTCCTCTATGGTGAAGAGTCAACACATAAAGGACCGACATGGAAATTACACTGTTGGCAGGAAAAAAAGATCCAATTCATCATCACGATGTCACCGTGTACACAGATGAAGCTGATTTTGTATTTACCCACCACTCCCTCCCCAAACACATTTTGCTCAGTCATACCTGAAGGCCATGACAATGACCAGG